ACTCATACACTGATGAGTGATGTGTCACTTTTAGGTAGAAAACTTGTTCCAGCTTCTCATGTGAACATTTTTGAGATTATTCTTCATCTTTTGAATTCTAGACAAAATAAGAAAATCTAAGGAAGGTCACTGCTTTTATAAAATATTATTATATATCTAAAACAATATATAAACAGGTGATACAAATAATTGTTAGCAGCCATTAAATAGTTAAATGAGAAATTATATGACCTCAATTTCCTGAGAGATGCTAACAATATTTGTGTCTAATTACAAAAATACAGAAAAAAAGAAACAGTCTTTAAAGATTTAAAGTGCTTCTTAATCAACATCATTAAACCTTCATTCATCTTCTTCTCATAAATCCCTAATACGTGTCCAGAACCAGACAAGAGACTGTTTAGAAATGTTGGACTTACTGAGGAGGAAGGAGGTTCGAGGAGGAGGCAGCGAGCTGGTAGAGCTCAGGAGGAGGCCGAGGAGAAGGAGGACGCCGGCCGAAGCCATGACGGACGAGCAAATGATGGATAAAGATTAGCTCTTCTCTGCGCGAGAGTGCGAAGAAGCTCTCAGCAACCACACAACTTCCTCTTTACCGCAGTCTGAGGTTGGGGCTGGGGAGGGGGCAAGCTTCTCTATACACCATCACGGCACCAAGCTGCTGCACCAACATAGAGATAATGGGGTCATTATATTTTCAGTGACATTAAATGTGAAGAAGGTCGTTGGAGTCATCTGCAAGTTCCTCTGAAAGCCAATTAGAGAAGAGAGAGTTTTGTTTCTCGTATGGCTCTGGCTGATCTGCTTCATCCTGTTTCACATCCTCTATCACCAGCAGCCGGCTTCATATTTCACCCACTGGCACACAACATGCACGCAAGTAAAACATCGAAACAGTAGCAGGAGGTGGGCAGAATTTACAGTAAATGCCAAGTACTGTACAACCATCTGACTGTAAACTGTGGATCAGAGTGAGATCAGGCAGTCAGGAGGAAACAGGTGAGCTGACGGTGAAGGTGGGATTAATATATTGAAGACTGAACACCTGAGGACATCAGGTAGCAGGAAGCAGGAGAGGAGGTCAAGACGAGGAGAGGCAACATGTGCAATTTGTGTCAGAAAACTTCAAGGACTGGTGTCACAAAAAGATATATTTCAAATTCAAACTACAAACTACATGTTTTCCCCTTCCAAGTAATCTCCCTGGAGTCTAACACACTTTCCCAGCCTTCTCTGCCACACCGCCATACATTCCTGGAAGGATTCTTCCAGAATCCTCCTCAGCTCCGTCGTCACAGCCATCTTGATGCCGTCCACGTCTTCAAAACGGGGCCCCTTGATGACCCCCTTGAGCTTGGGGAAGAGGAGCCAGGTGGGGTGAGTAGGGAGGTTGCTCCAGCACAGCGATGTTCTTCTCAGCCAGGAACTGTCAGATGCTCAGGGCATTGTGAGCAGGCGTGTTGTCATGGTGAAGCAGCCACGACTTGTCCTGACACAACTCTCGCCTCTTCTTGCACACTGAAAGCAGCAAACGCCACAGGATCTCTTTGTAGACGTGCTGGTTGATTGTCGGAAGGGGTAAACTCGTAGTTTGTAGTTTGGATTTAAATTATATATCTTTTGTGACACCAGTTCCTAGAACTTTTCTGACACACCTCGTATTCAACAAAATCTTTACTCTGGAGCCGCCATTTTACACAGCCAATATGGTAAAAATCCGTAATTACTGTGTTTTGCATGTGTTAAAAACTTGGAGGTGTAAATTAGAAGCTGTTAAGTTATGAAGCTGCATGTTGTGCTTCAGTTCAACCTAAACTCAGTTGCTGTTTACATCTGTTTGCTTCTCTCCTGCTCTCTGTGCTCACATAATCCGCATTTTAATTTTCTAAATTACCAATAAAGCTGCTCTCGTTTGCCTTTCACATTTTACACACAACTAGACAGATTGACCTGTCAGTACGAGTTCTATTCTATGTAGAAACTGAGGAACCAATAGTGATCCAGCTTTGTATAGCCCCGCCCCCTCACTGCTTCTAACAATGAACGATTCAGAATAGGCAGTTACTTAACAGTCCACCAGGTACATGTCCTTTCTAGAGCTGATTCTGCTAACTCTAAAATGTCTGAGCTACGACCAAAGCTCCCCAAATGTTCTGCTGCTGGCTCCAAGAGTGAACACAAGAGTCTTCATGAACTCCCAGCATCTGAGGAACTAAACACCCGGTGGATTACTGTTATTATTGATGGTGATGTCACCACGACTGTAAAACAATTCTTAGTTGTGTTGCTAACATGGCCAACATTAGATTTGACGGTACACCTACAGGTCAGAGTGCTGTGGAAACTAACACTGAGGGACATTCAGAGATGGAGGAAACTTTAATTTAAACCAAAAACAAGAACTATGTGGGTTACTGTGTTTCCATGTCGCCCACTGGGCTTCAGTTCAACCTAAACTCAGCTGCTGTTTCCATCCATTAGCTTCCCTCCTTCACTCTGTACTCACATAAACTGCATTTAATGAACAAGAACGAGTATGAAACAGTGACTGAAACTCATCCAGACTGAACGCTAACCAGCAGTCGCTTCATTTCCAAGTTGCTGATTTGTAGCTAAAATAGGGATTTTATAACGCTGTCTGACAAACTCATCAAACACAGGAGTTAAAACAACAACTGTGCTGTGAAGTTAGAGATACTTCCATGAAAATGATCCTCAGAAAGAGAGTTAGAAGAGTGGAAGTCCTGGGCTGTGTCTGAAATCACCTCCTATACCCTACACAGTGCACCATAATGGGTGTATGTTGTAGTGCTGTCCGAATGTTAAGTTACAAACGTTTCACCCTATAGCGCACTCAAAATATCCCACAATGCACTGTGAAAAGTAACGTACAGCCGATGGTCACTAATCAAGCAATATGGACCATCATGCATTGCGCGAAAGGAAATGCAACGCAAATGAGACGAACGAGAGCGCAAAAACTTTTCACTAAAATGTAAGTAATTTCCCGTTTATGTTTCGTTAAATTTCATTTGACCCATTTCTACTACGCAATAAACTGCGAATTTGATGCATTTGCACTACGTTGCTACGGTACAAACCGCGGTTAACGAGTAACATAATTAAGTGCCTGAAGTAGTGTCCGAAATGTTACTTTGCTCCCTATATAGTTCAATACATATTTCACTATATAGTGGCCCCTAAACAGGGAGTAGGGAGTGAGTGGATGATTTCGGACACAGCCCTGGTTTCATACACTCCTTCGCTATTCTCCAAACTGTCAATCACAGAACCAGACAGTGTTCTTCCTGTAGGGGGCGGGGACAGCAGTCGCTTAGCTACACTTAAAGCTACAGACACTGAAACAACCCGTTTTAAACAGGACTAAAATCAGGAAGTTAACCTTCAAAGTAACATTAAACAACTTCACAGTATTTTGAACTGAAAACTGAAAGACACATTCTGGAAATGTGAGCTTTCAGTGATTTGCTGAAAAGAGGAACAATGTAGGACCTTTTAAAGTAAAATATGTGTGACACAGCGGCACCCTTGGTTGTGTTTTATGATCATCCTGTAAAAGCACAGCTCCATTTAGATTTACGGTAAAGTGGCAGATAACTGATGTGCGGGGAGTTCCAGGTCTGTAAAGCACGAAAGAAAAAGTAGCTGCTGAGTTGGTTTGTGTTTGCCTGCAGAGATGTGTAGCGCCTCCCAGAGTGAAACCGTTGGTGGGATCTGAGATGACTTAAAGTGCTCTTTGAGTGTTTTGGTTCAGACGCTAGCAGTCGAGTCACACCTTTCAAGGGTTTGACTGTCGGAGCACCAGACTGATGTGAGCAGAGCAGGACGTGTCATCTCGAGAGTTTTTGTCTGGTTTTTCTGATAATACGTCGTTATGTGGGTTCCATGAAGTTTGACTGAGGTCTGAGTAGGAATTTCTTTGTTCCAAAATTGTTCTGCAAGGTTCTACTAATATTTTTAGCAGGAAGTTTTCTTTTAGTTCTTCTTGAAAGTCGGATAACTATAGATGTTCTAAAAATGTTTGCCGATAACGTTGTCAGACCATTGTACCCAAGCCTTCTCAAAAGTGAATGTTGCACTGAGAACGGCCCAAAGATTTTCAGAACATTACAAACATTCCAGTTATATTGCAAGAAATGTCATTATTTTACAGATATTGCCTTTTGTTTTCATAGATTTTACAATCTTTTAACAATATTGTTACTGTATCTGTACTGTATTTCTGCCAGATTTAAACCAATTTTCCTTTTTGAGAATCTTTTTAACAGTGTAAAAGGATGGGAGAAGGTGAGCAAGCTGTCTGTCTGTTTGTTAAATTTAATGTTGTGTTTGTAAGAGTGTCGTATTTGTGCTGTTAGGATCCCCTGAAAATTTAGACACTACATCTCAAGTGACTATCCTTTCAATATTAAATTCTTTAGACACCTCAATAATTATCAGTTACAGCTTTAAGAAATGTTTTAAACATCACTTTTTATGCAACATAAAATCAACGCTACTGTAACTAATAATTTCTAAAAAAAAAAAAGAAAAAAGAAAAGACCATTTCCATTAAAAAAAAAAACACACACACAAATAAACCCTTACTTCTCACAATCATCCAAACACACATCTGGACCCAGAAAAATGACTGATGGTTTAATAGAAATGTTGACTTACTGAGGAAGAAGGAGGTTCGTGGAGGAGGCAGAGAGCCGGTGGAGCTCAGGAGGAGGAGGAGGAGAAGGAGGACTGTGGAAGAAGCCATCAAGGAGAAGGAGATGATGGAGGATACAGATCAGATTAGGTTCCCTCTAAAACTACCAGCACTCAAAGACTGCAAAATAAAACAGCAGAAAACTCACCACAGCTGCTGAAAACATCTCTGAATAACATCATCATCATCATCATCATCATTTTTGGAGAGTTTGCAGCCGACACGCCAAACATCTGGTTTGATTAAAGCTGCAGAATGTTGGAGCATTACATTCAATTCTCTGGCTGTTTCTTTAAAGGCCAGTTCTAGCAGGCAGACATGGTCCTCGTCTGACTCACGTTCTCCCCAGTAAAATATTCAGTGACACTAAACTTTGACGAGGACAAAAACGGACGTTGGGGCTAACTTTCAGGATGCGTCATGGATCAGTGAAGGTCAAACAGCAGCAACGTGGAGCCACAACACAACAGGCCCAGAGGCAGAAACACAATAGAGATCCATTCTGCAACAGGAGAACCAGAAGAAGAACCTGACATGAACACTGATTGCCACATTTTTTTCTAAAAGCTGAGTGTGTGTTGTCAAATTGGTTGAAGATGTTTTCTTATTTTGCTCTGTTGAGCTCTTTGGAGGAAATGTACTTAAATTCTGTTCTAAAAAAGGAATTTATTGTTGGTTGTGTTGGTTTGCTCATCAACATCATCATCTGCCATTTTTACACGAGTAAATTTACTTTTATCAGACTGAAATATTGGAGTACCGCTTCTATCCCTGCATACAAAGCAGAAACTGATTTTAGACTGAGCAATATTCTGGTCTTTTCTTACCACTTTTTTTTAACCATCTGAACTGGCAAACAGCACTTTCTGGGGGTTTTTTTTGCTCTTTTTCCTCACTGTGAGCTCATTTTTCACTGTAATAAAGAGTCCTGTACCTCTGTGGAAACAGCACAACCATGACGAGGAGAGAAAACTGTCTTCTGTGCAGAATGACGCAGTTAGAATGACAAAATCATAAAAAACAACCAAAAAAAGTTGAATTGTTTTACACAAATAAACTGTTTACATTTTCACAGCCTCTGCAGACTTTTTCACTCTGTAGAAAGGTGTTTCACCATGCTGAATGTATCTTCCAACTACTTGCTTCGTGGATACTGTTTTTTCAACCAAGCTGAATTTACTTTATTAATCCAGTAGGTTTTATTTTCCTCTGCTCTGTGGAAACACTGCCTGCAGTTCAACGGAAAACTCTCTGAATCTGAGTCATTCATGAAGAATCAGTTGTGTTGAGGAGGGAAGAAGCTTTGGTTTCTTACAGAATCTGGTACATACGTTTTCGTTTTATGAGCATTTATAAATGACATGTAAAACTGTAGTGACTAAGCCTAAACTTAAAGCCACTGAGGGCTGCATAGACAGGGATGGTAGTCTGATGCGCTCTTCCGTAGCACTTCTGGTGAAATTAAGAGTCCAAAACCAGCGTCTTGAGTTATATGGGGTTTATTTGCTCACCTCAATCCAATATTGAGTGGACACCTACAAGTGCATGTATCCAGTTTTACCAATAAAAAGTCGCAGCTCCATACGGTCAAAAACTATTTGCCCTTTCTTCCGTCGAGCAACACCTGTTACTTGACAGACGGTTCCTACCTTAAATACGTGCCCTTAATCCCTTAGAGTGCTATCTGGTGAATAAATTAGTGTCCTATACACATTGACACACGCATTGTTGTAACTGGCTCCTACAAAAAGCGAGGGATTTTCGTTGAAATATCACAATTTGAAACTTAGATTGGTGTTCGAGGATCATTGGAGAGTTGTAAATCCGACAATTCTTTCTGCTTTTTATAGCTTCTAACTGATGAATGGCGTCATTTTGGCATTTTTTGAGTTAAGATGCCTTTAAAACCCGACCGGTATTCGCGTGCAGAGAATTAATATCACTGGACTGTTTAGTCTCTTAAAGTCTGACTGCGGCCAAAGAAAAAGGAATCAAAGCCTTAATCATCTTAAGGTGACAAGGTGACGGTCCAGGAAATAAAGACAGAAAGTACAAAAGACAACAAAATCATGTTTAAACACATCTCTTTAACTCCACCAAACATTTTAAACATAAGATGAGTTTAGAAAAACAGCGGACTGCTCCTTTAACATAACAGCACAGATCTTACAACATCTTTTAAATCAACCACGATTCTCAGAACAGTTTTCATTGAGCTTTTTCTTTGGCGTAACAAACAGCTGACAAGCTCGCAGCATACATTCCCGGCTGTCTCCGATAGAAATATCAAGGCGCGTTAGAAAAATAAAAACCTGATCCAGCACAGCTTCTCCCAGTAGGAACATACGGAGCTAAACTGGGAAAGAACCAGTTTCTTCTGGTAAGGCGTTTAGTCCGCTTCACACCCGCAGAGTTCAGTAAAGATCGCAGCATCAGGAAACCCAGGACATGACTGCAGATTTCCAGCAGGTTCTCGGCCACATCGGCGAAGGCGGGAAAAGTTTGTTTGTGAATAAAAAGGCAGGAAACACTGAGCAGCGACAAACATGTTAGAAGGTAAGTACGTTGGAGTTTCAGGCAGCAACAAACAAGTCTGAGGTTTCAAGAATAAAGTCGAAATATATCCAGAAAGAAGTGGCACTGCTATGAGAAAATAAAATGTCACATTAAAAAAAAAAAAAGGGTAAAATTTTAAGCATGAAGTTGTAATGACTACAAGACGATTTCCAAAATGCAAAGTAAAATGAAGTTGGTATGTTTTCAAGAAGAAATTTGCAATACTAAGTCGGAATGTTTTAAGAAAACACAACATTTGATGAAAAACATAACATTAGTAATATTTTGAGGGTACAGTTAGAACAGCTAGAAAACTAATTGTTTTTTCAGGAAACAAGTGGAAGTCTGAATATTTTGAGGATAAATTCAGAACATTTTGGGAAAAAAAATGCAAAATCATGAGCAAGAAGTTGTAATATTTTGAGGATGAAGTCTGAAATATTCTGGGAGTAAAGTAATATTAGCTAAACAAAGTTCTTTGTTTTTTTGTTTGTTTTTAAGAAAACAGTGCAAGAACAAAGTCAAAACCTTTCCAGACCAAGTTTGAATATTTATAAAGTCCTAATATTTGTTAAAAAAAAAAAGAGAAGTTTTTTAAAAACTTAATTCAAAGGTTGCAACACTGCAACTCAAGAATTACACTGTAAAAAACAGAATATTTAGAACAGTTTTTAATTGTAATTTTTGAATAATTTAGCGTTATTTTACAGATTTTTCCTGTTTTGTTAAATTATATTTAAGTAGCAAATAACAATGTTGATTATAAAAGAAAAGAACTGCCCAAAACTGGACATAATGTCCATATTAACTGTATTTAACTGTTAATGTATTACAAACCGTTTTATTTAACCTTTTTTTCACCAGGTAACTTGGTTGAGAACTGGTTCTCATTTTCAAAAAACGACCTGGTAACTTGTTCTTTTGCAATGTTTGACTGTAAAATTAAAGTGTTTGAATATATTTAAATCAGCTAAAAATATCATTATTTTACAGATATTTGATGTTACTTTCACCGTTATTACAGTTTTTGAATGTTACAGTATTACATTTTATATTTTTCAGTTGTTTTTTTTTACAGTGTAGTTCATCATGTTGCATTTATTAAGATGTTATATTAGATGTAATACTTTGAAGACAAAATTTCAAGTATTGGTGACATTATTACAGAATGAGGTCAGAATATTTTGAGAATAAATTCATAACTTCTTGAAAACAATTTTGCAAAATCATGAGCAAGCATTTGTCATATTTTGAGAATAAAGTTGAAATATTACGAGAAAACAGTCAAATAAGGCAGCTGCTTGTGATAATATCAGACTGATGGTTTGTTTATGCTGCTCTAATTTGACAAGGAATTCCTTAACTGTCCAATAGTAGCACAACAAAACTAAGTCTTTACCTTGAAATACTCTGATAAAAATGCAAACATGTTCTTGAACGTTTTTCTAAAATCCCAACTTCTTGCTGAAAATATTTCCACTGTATCACCAAAATCTCAGAGCAGTTTCCCAATGAAAACATAAAGCTGAACTTTATAGCTCCGCGATTCATCTCCAGCCGTCAGTTTAAACCTAAAAGTCTGTTTGTTGTTAAAAAAAGATTCAGTCAATGATTTCCCCTGAAAAACAGTCCGGTCTGATGATTCAGTCCTGTTTTGAAAAAGTGGATTTAATCCAAGTGAGAAAACCGTCCATATTCTGCACCTTTGCTAAAAAAATTTACTTCTGAAAAAAGAAAAGTATTTGTTGTCATATCCGAGGAGCGTCCTCAGGGACCCGCAGAGGGCCACAGACCACAGTTTGGGAACCGTTCTACTCGCTAGTCTTTAGTTCGATTCCCGTCTTGGAGTCCTGAAGCAAGGCACTGAGCCCCAGCTGACATCAGGAGGCGCACCACGACACTTCACCGTGACGTCGCCACAAACGGGTTTGAATCCCGAGCGTCCAGGTGATCGCTGCCGAGGTGCTGCTGAGCAAGGCACTGAGATACATCATGTGCAGCTGGACCTCGCGGAGGAATAAATCCGATGACTGAGTGCAAAACGGGTAATAAGTCATCATCACCTTCATCGTCTCTCTAGCGAAGGAATGCCGGAGCAGTGTTAATAAAACGTTCAGATAACGTCTCTCTGCAGCCTCCAAACATCCAAACAAACGTCCGGTTAAAGCGGAGGAGACGACTCGACTTTCTGATGGGAGGCAGGTCGAACCGGAGGAAGAGGTGGACGTCTGCAGAGAGACACGGTCACTGTTTGTCATTTTGTCCATCAACATTTCCAATTTACAGTAAAAAATTAAGAAAACGTCACATTTTTATCACTATTTGTCATTATTAATCATACTCATTCACATAATGTTTGGCCTCAACAATTTGCATCCATTACATTGAGTTAATGCATCTTCTAATAAAACTACACTGTTAGCTTTTCCCCAATGAAGGTTTTTTTAAATCGTCAGTCTTAACTGTCTGCTAACATAAAGGACGTGACTTAATATGTATAACGTTTTTCTGGGGAAAAAAACCTGCATAAAAACAACACAGAGCCTCTGAACGGTCACAGATGGAATTTTTCTTGATTAATTTGACAAAACCTTCCAACATCTGAATTCATTCTTTCTCCATAGAGGACTCCTGACCAGAACTTGGGTTGGTTTTCCCTCAGCCCTGTCTGTCAGTGAGTCTGTCTGAGTGTTTACTGGACAGGCTGCACGGTGTTTCCCTAAACTGGTCCACTGTGTTAGAACTGAACTGGACCAACTGTTCACAAGGATCAGAAGGAATGCAAAGCAGATTATGAGGAAAGTAATCCAGAAAATAATCCCCGCTGTGGCCTTCTGTATGTGGTGCTAAACTGATATTTTCAGTAATTCACACAAACAGCAGGAAACTGCCGCTCACACTCTGACACTCCTTGAAACTGGTGCATCATGTGCTGAATATGCAGCTTCCGGTTCAACAGTCAGTCTGTCTGTCACCAGATCATTTACACTGACTGAATGTTTGTCTCTGCTTTCAGTCTTAGAACTGATCAAACCAAACCTCACTTTTCAAACTTTTCTTTGTTTCTAAAAAATGTTCTCTCTGTCTGAAAAGAAAAATCTTTACTTAGTAAAAATGGTCGTCATTTTCAAAGTGCCCTCACTACTGTAAAAATAACCCTGACAAAAAAGTCCTCCCATTAAAGAAATGTCTTCACTTAAAAATTTGTTTTTTTTAAAAATCCTTAATTTAAAAAAAAAAATTTAAAAAAATCCTCATATTCTGAAAACGTTTTTCACTTACTGAAAAATGTCCCGATCAAACAAAAAACCAAATGTTCACTTTAAAAAAAAAATGACTTCACTTCTTAACAAAGAAATGCCCTCACCATAAAAATGGTTGTTGCTTACTAAAAATGTCCTCACTACGAAAAAAATGACCTTACTCCTTCAAAATATCTTCACTTTGTAAAAACTTGTGTCCGCATTCTAAAATGTCCTCATTTAGTTAAAAATGTCTTACTATGTTAAAACTGTCTTCACTTTGTAAAATGTTCTCACTTCCCTCCCTGTGTCTGAGAACACTCGCTGTGACAGTCGTACCTGTTGGGTCCGGCAGCAGGTGCAACGGCGCCCTGCGGCGGTGGTTTGGTGCTGGCCGGGTATCCAGGGTGAGGCGGGATGTGGGGGTGGGCAGGCGGGGCCAGAGGGCGGGGCTTTTTGGGCACCACAGGTTTGAGTGGAACAGAAACCTGAAGAGAGAATCATTGGGATTCTTGAAAAAATTAAATCTCTGCATGTTTTGCTTTGCAAGTTATATTTACTTCATTCATAGAACACACAGAAAACTGAAAATCTGAGAAATTTTAGAGGCCAGAACCATAATTGCTGCTTCAAAAAATAATTTATTTGATTGAAATAGTTGATTAACTGTAAATGTTAATTCATAAATCACTGTAGGTCTGGAACTTACCAGGTGACATGATAGTACAGGTAAATCCATCAGTATTAATTTAAAATCACTAACTGCCAGCCCGATGCTCACTTGTGTTCCTGACCGCCTCACGTATATCTGGTATCATTTAGTCTGATTCCAGCAACCAATTATGTCCAACCAATCGATCACCCGTCAAACTTACCTTCCTTCTTCATCCACTATCAGAAGATGTCAATAATCACAGTGATTGATCGCCCAATCACAAATAACTACTCCAATCAATGAGTCACAATCACATCTATCACCTTCTCAGAGCTTCATTCGCTGCCAGTTTACACCAACATCAGAAGCTTTCTACATGCTACAAAGCTGCATGCTAACAGCGAGCAGCATGCAGGTGCAAGCGTACCTGTTCAGGTGTGACAGGGTCGGGGGGGAGGGGCTTGTTGGGAGGAGCTGGTCGGCTCACCAGCAGCTGGAAGGTTAGTGAGGAAGAGAGGAAGAGTGAAGCTCCAGCGACACAGACAAGGACACAGAGGACAGCGAGGACGCAAAGGTCTGAGCTTCATTTTTAAATTCTGCAGTTTCTCTGACATGAGAAACCAAAAGATCCGACTCATATAAAAGCGTTTTCATTTTAACAGCGCAGCATGCAGACAGAAACAGGATTAATGACAAAGAAACATAAGACATAAAGACAGAGATCATGCTTTAACAGTCCGCTTTCACAAACACAGACTCTGACTTTTACATCTAACAGTCCAAATACACACAAGACGTTTATCTGCCCAGCGTTGGAGTTTGATATGGATTCTAACAAATTAAAGTTTGTAAAACTAAGTTAAAATGAAAAGTAAATGTAAAAGCTGACAGTGCTGCTGCTTCAAACCCTTCAGCTTTATGCATTGCAAGGAAAAACCTTTGCCCTCTTTAGCATTGTAAGGATGTTTTAGGTGACACAAAAAATGCGCACAGGCTTCAAAGATACAGAAACAATGTGCACAGTAAGAAAAAGAAAAATGCAAACCCCAAAAACTTGGGGATGCATTTTAAGGGATCTACATCTCCAGAAATATAATTCCCACAGACATGAAATTTGGTGAGGACACAGACAGAATAGCTTTCAATTACCAATAAATTAATTACCAATACATTTTTCCCCAAAAATTACATATATGGATCCCTTTGCTCTATACTCCACATCATCATTTTGTCAATAGTCTTGCCATAGTTACCACACATCAAGTTCTACTGTTGCTGGAGGCCTCAAATGTTGGTGATTTTTGTCTTTCTGGGACCACAACACCACCTTTGTTGGAACATTATAGAGTTGGTTTTTTCCATTTTAAGGGGCCAATCAGCATATATCATTGTCATTTTGGACAATTTTGGGTGATTTTGGAGCATTTTCAGTAATTTTGGATCTGTCTGAAGACATTTAGGATGGCTTTCAAGTCAAAATATCAAAAGACCGGAACCTTGTCTTGCCAAACTTGCCACACACCAAATTTTATTGATGTTACAGGCCTCAAACGTTGGTGAAATGTCGACCAAAGTATTTTTAGTAAGACTTTTGGATACATCTGCAAATATATATTTACAAGAACTTTCTAGGGGGGCCGCAATACCAACGTATTTACATTTTTTAGCCATTTTCATGGGCCGTTTACTAAAAGCTTAACTCCTGTAGGATCAATTCAATTACGTGGATCTGCAGGAAACATTTTTTTCCTAGTCCTCACTAAATTTCCCGAAGCAGATAGTTTTTTTTCTGAGTTCTGTCTGAACTAACACAAACTGACCCAGATATAAGGTCTTTGTTATGGGCTTTGTGACAAATATTAATGGAATTCTTTTGTGTAAGACTGACGCACATACAAAACACAGTCAACACAAATAAGCGTTACGTTTGTCCTCCGACCAGCAGGTGGAGCTGCAGTCTGTCTATTCTGTCTCAAACACACTCGACTTGAACACGAACTGTGGACAGACACGGGACACTCAGTGACACTGCACACTACAGGTAGCGATGACTGTACCTGGCTGGAGGGAGTGGTGGGGGGGTCAGGGGGCAGAGGCTTGGTGGGGGGAGCTGGTCGCTGTTTAACCAACTGAAGCAGCAGAAATAAAAGTCAGAAGAACACTGAGTCAGTGTTTGGAACGATGAGCCAGCCCGACCTGAGCCAGTTCATACTCAGAACCAGCTGATAACAAAAAAGGAATAGTTCAACATTTTGGGAAAATCCTCCGACTTGACGTTTGACCCGAGACTATTTACATCCCCGGTAACGGATTTATTTTAAGCAGTGAACTGGTGCAAAAATGTCAAAAATGACTTTAACCATCTGTTGTTTTTTCTTTTTTAATCTAAAGCTTGTTTATAATATTCATCAAGTTTGCTAGATAAACATTACAGTGCTGTAATTTCCAGTTTGACCTGATGAAGAGAATGTTGTCTTGCTTAAACTCTGACAAAATGATACAGAAGTGAGTCTGTTTGTAACCCAGTCACCACAAAATTATTTTGTTATACAAGTCAACTGCATTCTCCCCACAACCACGTGAATGTGCTCAGTGATCACTGTGCTGACTGGTTTGGGTGTGGTAGGTGTGGCTCTGTGAGAAACTACAACAGATGTGAGCCGCATATGACACTAGAAACATGAAATGTATCGGTCTAATCATCAAGGTAGAAGAAAAACAGTTTCTCACATCTATAAATGAGTGGAACATTTCAGAAATGACATAACATTATTGGTAAAACTAAGCTTTAAATGCTACAGCTGCATTACTTCAGTGTGTAGACTCACCCACCAGACTGCTAGCAACCCAACATACAAGTGTTTGAAAACAGCAACATTTATGTACTGCTGTTCTCTTTACATTTAGTCAAATCAGTACGTATAGTCACTGAATTAGCTACTAGCAGCTCCTCTATGTAATGTATTCATGGATGGACAGCCGACTATCGATGGATTTACTGTGACACTGAAGTAAACTTGATGATTCTAAGGGGAGTTCTGAAGTATATTCTTGATCATTTCTGGATGGACTCAAAGATGTTTAGTCACATTTATTTGCTTGTTGTTTTAAACATGCTAAAAGTTTATAATCCTGGCTGAAGCAATGAGTTAAATGACCACAAAAGAAGGCACCTCTCATTGTTGTGCTAAAGACATCTGAATGGGGCTGTAGTCCTTTGTGAGAGGAATTCAATTTTTGTAGATTATCTAAGAGGACTTGAAATGATGAACTATTCTTTTATTTTCAGACATAAATTATACACTTATGTACACCAATTGCAAAGACACACCACGCACAACTGGACAAGAGTCACTGACGACAACGACGAGACGCCACAGAGACGCTTATAACAGCAAAACAACAGCGCTACTTGATCTGAACGCACATGAACACAGACGTGAACACCTCCAGGTGAGGTTACCTGTGGCGGGGGTTTTAGGGCAGGGTCAGGGGGGAGTGGCTTAGTGGGAGGAGCAGGTCTGTCATGAACCTGATAGGAGAGAAAACAGGAAGCAGAGGAACAGTGACAGCTGAAACATGCGCACAAGAGAGGAGAATCGAGGTCCAACAGGCAGGTGTGTTAATGTGAGCTACAAGAGCAAGAAAAGAAAAACAGTGGCAGCTGTACAAAAGCTCGGCTGGCTTTTGTCAATCACTGAATATGAAAATCAGCAACATTTGTTTCACTTCATTTTTCTGCAGTCACAAGACATTCTGATGTTTTCAGAGGGCATCATGAGAACTGTCCTACAAAGGAAAACCAATCTTTCACACTTTGTTGACATCTGGTTTATTATACATGCATTGTGCTGCTAATTTTCTACTGTAAGTTTCCTGATAACTTCCTAAAAATAGCTGATATTAAGCTGGAAATGACGAAAGTTCAATGCTGTTTTGTGCTACTTTTATGGAATATGGCCTGCAAGTTAGTGACTGATCCAAGTCATTTAATAATCAGCATCTGTTGAGGCCCTAAACATTTTTTTTCTTTTTATGATAATACACACGTCAGGTATTATAGATCAGCTGTAGTTCCGGGTCAGCCACCAGGTGGAGCCTCTTACTATTTGGGTGCCATGTTGGCAAGCATAGAGCATTGTGGGTGTTTAGCTAGAAAAGGGGAAACATGACAAAGACTTCTGTGATGCTTAATGACCAGCAAACAAGTGTCATACTGAGCAGGGATAAACTAGGAGAGGATTCCTAAAGTCCAGTGGAACAACTGATGGCCATTGTTGCAGCTATTTAATTGCTTTGTTAAACAACAATTCTGATCTAGCAACTTTTTTCAGAAAAGAAATCTAAAAGTTCTGCACTCAGCGCAACCCTGAAGACATGATTGACTCAGCTGTGACCATTTTTCAGGTTAACTGCAGGCTGTGTTTACACAGAGGAGAGAGGACAATGGAAACAAAGCAAAACGGTAAATTGTTACATTTCAAAAGTATGTAGAGTCACTATTTTTTTCGTGTTGGGAAACACCACATACTGCTTGTGGGAAAAATGTTGATTCCGGGTTTACAAAATTAATCTCGAAACAACTAAAAAGATACAATTAGATTTTTTCTTTTGTTTTCCTATGACTGTCTGCAGGTTCTAATTCCACCTGTGTGTCTGTACCTCATCTGTCTTTACTCTCATCTCTTGACTGTTTATCTCCTGTTCACATTGTCTCCTTGTTTCTCTGTGTTCTTCAGAGTTTTGGTTTACCCCTTTCATCTGGTTGTTTTTCTTCTGTGGAGTCTTTTCTTGGAGTTCACCTGCTTGAACCCTGCAGTACCTTTTGGTTTTTCATCTGCAACAAGTTTTGTTTGCCTTACTCGACCACCTCTATGTCTGCATTTGGTCTTTATTTTGACACGTACATCACAAAGTTTTGGCAACTCCAAGTGGTGATCTTACAAAGAAATGTGACAATGTTTTTTCGTGGATCTGATGTGATGTGCAGTGGCGGCTGGTCAATACGGGGCGCAAGGGCGCCGCCCCACTACTACTGACTAGATAAAAAGTAGTTCTCAAACACAATGTTAAAATTGAATTAATTATAATAAAATGAATAATAACATTCATATCCTTTTGCCATATTAACAATATTTGTATTATTAGCAGATTCAGAATTAGTCTTCACTGCGTGTTTACTAATTTTACACTTCCTGGATCCGGGGCGCCGGCCACATGAGTGTGTACGTAGCTCGAACAACTTTTCGTGATCATGTGACCTTGATCCGGACTCTGATTGGCAGCTGCAGACGTTCTCACGGGGCGCAGCTTGGTGCGTCCCGGACCCGTCCACTTTTGCTGTAAGCCAATTAATTTTGTCTTTATTTGCTTTTGTCTTCTGTGGTTGGACATCAAAACTGTCCTTTGATGTTCTTACGACTGAGCCTTAAATACATATCCAACACCGTCACACGGCCTTTCCTGTCGCTCTTCTACAAGATCACAGCTACTGTAGTGATGACTAAATGCATCGGCCAATGCTGTCAATGGAGAAAAGGCTGCTCACGGAGGTGAGTGACTTCAACCAAAAAGTCAGAGAGAAGTCTACTGAGCAGAAAGAGAGGTGAGCCATTTTTTTTCAAATAGCTCCAGAATGCATTTGCGACCCTCTTTTTGAGAATGTGAACTGATGAGCATGATGATCATGAAGCTGTATTAGTGTCACTGTAATCGGCACAGGAAGCTGCTGTGTGGACCACAGTGGTGGAAAGTAGGACGTTTATAACTTCAGTGTATCGCAGTATTTACCTTAAAAATGAGGTCTTCTCATGAAAAACAGAGCGCACCTGCATTCGCTGTTTTTCCACTCATATAAAAGAGCGCATGTAGAATACATGTAACTGGGTTTAACCTTGGACAAATCTGACATCAGAACGCTCTAGTTTATTATTTTTAAAGTAATTTTTGGCCGCTGTCAGAGCATACCACAGCCACCAAACAGCAGTACTGCAGTGTGCTATGTGGCCCGGTTATGGAGCATCAGCAGCGTCTATCGATAAGAAAATGTTCAGAAAGTCGTATGTTTTGTGTGTGACCAGGTGGGAGGTGCAACAAAATGAGAAAGTAGGTCGTAACGGTGCTACCAGTGAAAAAGTCAGTCTGGAGCTCTGAATAGTTTTTTGTTTTGTTTTGTTTTGTTTTATTACTTATCTTGTGTGTTTTGAGTTTGTACAGATCCTGTAAACATTGATGAAAGTTTGATGAATGGTTTTGAAATGTTGTTTGAGTCAGTCTTAATAATGTTAAATTAGATTACAATTAGAATATCCTCCAAAGGTAGAAAATTTGCATTCCTGTAAATAGTTGTGCCTGATGTTACTCATATTCTAATTTCTGATTTAAAATAAAAGGTCATTTGCAGACTGCGCCCCCCACCAAAAATTTTCACCACTGGTGATGTGGCGCATCTCCAAATATTTAAAAACAACAAACAAACCTGATAAGAGCAAAGTAGACATTCAATCATTACTTCTGTCAGATGTTGCGGGAGTTTTATCAGGGGGCGTGGTCAGTGTGGTAAGGTTGCTATGGTTACCTCTTTGTGGGACGGGTTCAGTGGGATGTCAGTCTGTGGGTTCAGGTGGTATCTGAGCGGTCGGACCTGCTCCCCGTTCCTGCCGTCTGCTCGCTCCATCACTGGAGTCCTGCCATGTGACGGAAATTAAAGAAAATCTGCTGTTTGAATGTGCTGGTGGCAGATTTTACGGACATTTATGTGCATGTGCTGGCAATGCAATGTGACACATAAAAGATTCTAATCAGGATCAGGGTCCAAATACCTTATCTCTAGTTCTAATAAATTCATTTCTCTGCACATAAGTACAACACCACTAAGACCACAAACTAAACGATCCTGCTGACTTAAAGCTGCACCTGGACTTTATTACCAAGAAACCTCTCTGTCATTTCCCATTTAATTCTACTAAATACCAGATCATTATTGAAGAGATTTTTAAAAATGTTGTGTTCATGTTAGGGATGACAGGAGGGTGAAGATCAGGATCAGTGCAGCTGTAAGTCCTGACGTGGTTTCTCTCTGCTGATCAGGTCTGAGAGAACAGTCAGAGAAGTGAAGGCAGCAGCTGAAGGTTTGAATGATTACCAAGACACTTTTAAACCTCTGAAACCTCAAAACCCGTGTTTAAAGGGCAGGTTAATTTTCTTTCAATCTAAGCTTAAAATTTTGATATTTCATCAAAATTACTTTATTATACAGGTGTCATTAAAAAGTTTCTAAGTATTCTGAGCTTCTCGGCACAACATGAAGTCACAAAAAACCCGCAAAACAACGTCATGTAAAATGAACAAAATGTGAAACAAATTGTCCAAGAAGTGACCAAAAAATTACTAAAATGTGACACAAAATAACCACAAAAAGACGGAAAACAACAAAATGTGGCACAAAATTACCAGAATTTGACACAAATTGACCAAGATGTGACACAAAATAACTAAAATGTGACACAAATTGACCACATAGAGACATAAAACTACAAAGTGTGATGCAAATTACCGCAAAAAGATGGAAAACAATAAAATGTGAAGGCACATTACCAAAAAATTTGACACAAATTGATAAAAATGTGACACAAATGACTAAAAAATGACTTCAAAACCATGTAACGTGACATAAAACAATAACAAAAATGTGCAAAGCAACAAAAAGGGACACAAAACAACAGTAAGAGACAAAACTGTCTCTCAGAGTTTGTAGAGGCTATAAAAATATAAATAGTCAAATATCTATAGTATCTGGTACGTCCATCTTTTTCCAGTGTTGGTAAAACATTTTATTAATTAAATATTTTGAGACATTGAACTTTTTTAATCTCTGTTAGTCTGATTGTGTCTTACTACACAGAAGATATTTCTGCTCACAGTGAGTAAAAATGAGACAGGAGCAATAAAAAACACCCAGAAACTGCTTGAAGTTCAGAGACGTTTCAGTGTCACAAATTACAATCTGGCCTTCACCTCTCTGACTCTGCAGGAACAGACTACCGACCAGAACCAGCAGGTCCAGCAGTACCTGGAGACGTGGGCAGGGTCAAATTCCAAACCCCACATCTCACAGTCAGCCACACTGCATTGTGGGTAAGAAAATACATCAGAATCAGGCTGAAGATGAGTTCAGTCACGCTTCTTTGAGGAAACTGAAGCAGTTCATTTTATAACTCCCAGCAAATAAAAGGTTTATAAAACACTTTAACAAACAGCGAAGCAGTGAGCAGAGACACTACCACTGTTTACTGCCTGTTTATGTATTTGTCAGCGACTTCAAACCTAATGGTCCTTTAAAAAAACTTCTGGTGCTGCATATCAAGGCCACTGCTACTAAAAAAATGTAGGAGGTCATGATATCTTGAGAGCAAAGTTGTAAGAAGAAAGAAGAAAGAAAGTTTACATTTAGCAAAAAAACTCAAAATGTCATCAAAATAAAGTTCCTGTAGCGTCAGTGTTACCGGCTGTGCTGTCGCGCTTTGTGAAACGGGCTGTTTGGTCCCAGACAAAAGAGGCTCCGCCGGAAACGAGGGAAGCGAAGAGCAAGGAAGAGGAGGACCACCGGCAGGATGAAGAGGAAGATGACGAGCAAGGCAACTCGGACCGGATCCGACTCTAAACACAGAAATATTAGCAGGTTAGCTGGAGTCAGACAGAAGCTGGAAATGGGAGATATTTGTCAATGTGAGGCACCTCGAGCAGCTTGGGCCGGTCCACTGTCAATGCTTCCTCCATGACCAGAGTACCTGCAGTCAGGTGGAGCCCAGCCCACCTCGCAGTGACAGTTCTTATTACTGTTACACACCTGAAACACACACGACACACCACAATATAGACAGCGTAGATAGGATAAACCCTGTTTCAGTCTGACTCCACTTCTTTCCTCAGTCTCTCGCAATACCGAAGCTCTTTTCTGGGTTTTTCCATTTCAAATCATCAGATTATAAGAAATTATAAGAACAATTTCTGCTCCACCATCTCTGATTTACCTGAATTTTCTAAGCATAATTGGGCTTAATTGCCCATTGATTCACTTCCAGCACTTTTTCTTCACACTGAAATTTGAGGCTGTTTGAACAACAATATCTTGGAAACTATTAAAGATAAAAGCAATACTGAATAAATGGACAAAATAATCTCTGATTATTGGTGAGCTGAAATACGTCGTCATGAAAAATGTCCCATCTTTGAGTTCAATTTGGTCAACTAGTGATATTTTCTGAACCCTATGTAGCTTCATGTCACAATAATACAAAACAAAGTTATATAGAATACTTTTAATATAAAATACTTGGTCACAAAAATAGAAAAAAGTTATTTTTCATAACTGATTGAGCAGGAATCACATGTTGTACCATAAAAACAAAAATATCGTTAGATATTCTAATCCAAGTAGGACAGAGTGCTGGAGTTTCAAGATGGTTCTCAAAATAAAACTAAGAAAATGTACTTGTTTAATATGGGCATATTCCATAAAAATCCTGTTGTATTTAATGGCCTTGATTTTCTTTCTCCATTTAGTACAGTTGTGACTCGATAATCCGACACTAAATGTAAAACCTTCTTTTATGCTGGATAGCAAGGCTGTCGGATTGTCAAGACAGAAGTCGAGATACAAGGAGGGCTTGATGTTTGAATTGTATATTGAATTGAATATCCGAATATTTGGCACAGAGGAAACCTGACTTGATCTCAGGATTACTTAACAAGTTTAAAATATAAATGGAACAAAGGAAAGAAATGCATTATGCTTTAGTAAGAAACTAACAGCAGAGTTCATGAATTCTCTGTAAGTTTTTTAATTTAGGTTGGGGGGTTTTAGCATTTCATTCAGTGTGAATTCAGTGTTGAATTTGGTTATTTACTCTGAGTCTAGTAAATTATTTGACTAAAATATAATCACAATAAATATAAATAAATAGAGTGTGGTGTCACTTTTTACCTAAACCTGACCATTTAAAGGACATTGTGCTTATTTTGAACTAAACTATGAGATGTAGTGATGCATCCTTCACTCACCCCGTGACCGTTGCATTTCCGTCGACATTCGTCCACACCGAACACAGACACGTCTTGACACTTCTGGTTTAAACAAGCCTACAACGACAGCAACAAAAACAGTCACTTTAAATAACACTTTTGTGAGAAATCCTTCTAGAAATCCCACAAAATTCTTGTGAAACTGCACCAAATGTTTCATATCTTTTATGACAAAGAAACAGTCAGCACTGTTGTGAAACTGTCAGTGATTTTTCTGTCTCCTCTGGGCTTGCGGGAGGCGCTGTCTGACCTTGCCGGGGCTGCAGGCGGTGCCCTGAGCCACGATAGCGGGGTCGGACACATCGTCGCCCAGGTGGAAGAAGGTTCCTCTGCAGACCAGGTTCAAGCGGACGGTGGTGGTGAGGATCTCAGCATTGGTGCCCAGCAGGGGGCGCTCCCTCCCGCCCTGACACTGAATCCTGCCGCAGTGAACGTCGCTGCAATGGCAACAAAACCCAACAAAAAGTGATGCAAGTTTCCATTTTATCACATATAAATAATAAACATACAGAAGCATCCTGGGAATTGTAGGCCTGAGGGACAAGGACGCAGTTACCAAATAAACAAAACAAACAAAACAAATGTATGTTTACTCTGTGTACTCACGAGTTTGCACAGGGGATGTACGAGCCGTTGGACAGCTGACCACAATTTCCATATTTGTTCCCCTTTTTATTGACTGATGAGAAACAGACAGCTGGAGCACTGGTGGCATCTGAAGGAAAAGACGTAAACCAGTACAACGTGGTTAAAAATCAATGTAAACTGGTTCTGGCTTATGTTAAACCACTAATATCCTCCCCAAATTGGTTAAGGCACGGTGTAAAGTAGTATAAAGAAGCTTAGATTTACTATAAACCAGTTAGGCTCAATAAAAATGAGTAATGTATCAGTACAAATTGGGAAAAACACAGCTGGCTGTGGCCCCCGATAAACTGGTCTCATAAACTGGATTTTGCTTGGTGTAAACTGGTTTAAACACAACACGACATAAACTTGCATAGATAAAGTATAAAGCAGCTTTAGTGAAAACTTGTTAAGTGTAAGATACCCGGATCAGAATAAACTGGTTTAACATCAGTAAAAACTGCTCTGGGCTCAATGTAAACTGGATCAAACTGAGTTGACCTTAGTGTAAAAGGTGTTTAGCTCAGTATCATAAGTTTAGGATCAGAGCAAAGTGGTGTTGACTCATTATAAGCGATCTATATCCAATCTCATTATAAACTAATATAGTATCAGTATGAATGTACAAAACCTTTATAAATTGGTTTAAGATCAATGTCAACTAGCTCAGTCTCAGGATAAACTGATTTAGGATCAATATAAAAAGGCAGAACCCTGATAAACTGGTTTAAGATCACTGTAATCTAGTTTAGTCTCTGTATAAACTGGCTCGGCTCAGTTTAAAGTGGACCAGCACAACTGGAGTCTTACTGGGTCCCCACAGCATCTGGCACTGGGTGTTCATGCTGGCGCAGATTCCTCCATAGCAGTAGGAGGCACCGTCCTCGCAGGGCTCTCCGTTCTGCAGGAAGACATTGGGCGGGCAGTAGGGGGAGGAGCCTGTGCAGAACTCGGGAAGGTCGCACTCTCCGAGCGGATCACGACACACTGAACCTGCCGCTCGCAGCTGAGGAAGGAGGTGAGGTTTAGTTCAAATACTGGCTGACATCAGTATCATGTCTGTGGCATCATGTCTGTCTGACCTTGCAGTCTTGGCAGCAGATACCATCAGAAGAGCACTGAGCGCCAGGAACGAGCTGACAGGTGGAGGCGTTACAGCAGGGGTCCTCACACTCCTGACCAATCAGGGCACAGCAGCACATCAACACGAAGAAGGACACACAGAAGTAACACGTATGATACTTTGATAGTTATTTCATCATCCTCTTACTGGTGTTTTTAAAGGTGTTATTGCTTTATTTGTTGGTTGTTTCTTGTTTGAAATGTGTTATAACCTGAATATATAAAGTTTCCTGATCTTACTGCAGAAAACACTATGCTGCATTAAAATAACTAAGTATTGTTATTTCAGACAGGTACAGGTGTACAGGTGAGCAGACAGTCAGCCAGGTGTACAGGTGAGCAGACAGGTGAACAGGTGAACAGTCGGACAGGTAAGCAGACAGTACCTCCAGCAGGCCACAGTCACACTCCTCTCCTTTCTCCACGTACAGGTTCCCACAGCGAGGTCCTCCCAGCAGGCGTTCTGGCTGCGGTACGTTGAACAGACACATACCACCGCCGTGCAGCAGGCTGATGGACAGATCAGAGGCGCTGCAGCTGCTGAACTGTTGACCCGGCATGAACCTGAGGTCAGAAGATGGAGGTCAGAATGTAGGCGGTTTAATGCGAACAAACAGGTTCATGATGCAGAGTGCAATGTACGTTCGTTATGCAGCTCAGAAATGCTGGAAAGGTTTTAAAAATTAGGACCTTCAAAGGCCTGTGACTCTGAAAACATTCACAGCATAAAAGTAAAACTTTGCATGGCGTCATTAAATACACAAAAGTCACTGAAGGCAAAAATCAGCTGATTCTGTGGGTCAAATGGGAACCTTTTAATATTTGGTTGATTATAATTGGAATGATCTGTAATAACTTATTTTTAGATTCTGGCCCTGCCCCAGTCTAAATACTCTGGTACCGACCCAGTCGAGGGCTCCATGATGCATCCTCCAAGCCGCGGCTCATTCTGGCATGCACAGCGACGCTCGGCGGTGTCATGGCTCATCCCCAGGTTGTGACCGAGCTCATGAGCAACAGTTGAGGCGACGCCCAAAACGCTGACCAGGTGGTCCTGAGACAGAGAAAGAGAGGGTTACGAAAATCAGCCATTAGTTTGTAGACTAGTTCCACGAGTTTCAGTTTATTTCTCTGAAATCCAAAATGGGTCACTCCATCTTAAATCATTGAGTTTTAAAACAATTTCTGGTTCACCATCTCTGATTTGACTGAGCATAACATACGAAATGTTTAATAAGCTATTAATGACATTTTTGCTTGATCAAGTATTTTCTGAAATAAAATGTTTTTTAAAAAACAAAACAAAACAACAACTCTAACTTATATTTAGAGAGGTATTTTCAAACTCCAGAACTTGGTTCTGCTTGGATTAGACCAGGGGTCTCCAATCCTGGTCTTCGAGAGCCACAGCCATGCATGTTTTAGATGTTTCCCTCTTCCAACACGCCTGATTCAAATGATCAGGATTGTTATCAGGCTTCTGCAGAGTTTGATGATGAGCTGATCATTTGAATCAGGTGTGTTGGAAGAACATCTAAAACATGCAGAACTGTGGCTCTCGAGGACCAGGATTGGAGACCCCTGGATCAGACTATCTACCAATGTTTTTGTTTTTGTGATACAACTTGACATACCTGCTCAATCAGTTTTGATAGTTCAATATAAATAGATGTGTTTCATTTTTGTGATTAAGTATGTCATATAAAAAAGTCATGCAGCGACATATGGTTCAGAAAATATCACGAGTTGGCACCTGCATTATCAGAACAGTTTTTTTTCAATGTGAGCTCAAAACTAGGACTTTCATGACAACTTCATTTTTTAAAAAAATATTTCAACTTCTCCACCAGATTATTTGATCTACTTGTCCAATAATGCAGAATTTAAAATAATTATCTCGAGAAATAACAGAGAATATTTCAGGCTTTTATCTTTCATTGTTCCTGAGATATTGGTGTCCAAACAGCCTCAAATTTTAATGTGGAAAAAAAAAAACCTGCTGAAAGTGGCTCGATAGACATTTTTAAAAATATTATCATCTCGGAAAATATGTGATAAATCAGTCTGAAATTTCACAGAAACCTTTTTAAATATTCATAGTTTATGATAAAAAAAATTTTTTTTAAGCAAATCAACCCACAACAACCCAAATGCCAAATTTCTATAGTTTGGTTATGTTATTTTTTTCCAGATTCAAGATCACTGAAGATACTTCAGCTTTCTGTACCAGACTTTAAATGTTACAGTTCTGTCTCGATCTGGATCCATACTAAGTCAACCTTGAGATCTAAACTTTCAATGGGATTAATGTGGAAAAATGTAAAGGTTGAGGAATCAATAAAACACCAATAAAAATTAGCTTCATGCATGCATGTAATTCCTGGTCCCCCGATGTTGTTGTGATGTGGGTATCAGGAAATAAAGCTCAAAATAAAGAGCCGACTCACCACGTTGACGCCACCCGACCTGTCTCTGGAGCACATGGACGACTGGGACGCCATTCCCACTGTGGTGCCATCAAAAGACCCGCCCCTGCAAAGTCAAACCATCAGTCCAGATCAATAATATAAACCAGATCAGTCGGGATCTTCAGTCCAGGGGAGTGTTCCTACATGACTAGCTGGGCGTTGTCGTGGCGAAGGCGTGGCAGCAGGTCTCTTGATCTCCACTGCAGGAAGTTGTTGAGGGTGTCAATTGGACTCTTCTCCACTCGGATCTTGTCGCGGTCGCTCCAGATCTCCAGACCAGTCAGAGCCACCCGGACGTTCAGAGGTCGATAGAACTAAAATAGGAAGAACAAGGCGGTTTGGTTCTGCTGCTGCAGTGGATTTACTTTGTCTGACAGTGACGGCAGGTCGGAGGGCTCACCCAGTCCACCTGGTTGGCCACGTCCAGCATGCGGTAGATGATGGTTTTATTGTTCTTCTGGTAGTTCAGAAACTGGGAGGAGGAAAAAGAACGCTTAGTGACACTATCTGTGGTCAGGATTTAAAATCACAAATGGCAGAATTCAAACACCCAGTGAGGAATGACTGCTAATTGTTTTGTAGATTTTATTTTGTTGATGTCTGATAAGATGAATTGCTGCCATCTTATGCCAAAAACACATCACTGCAGGTAAAAAGCCTCCATCTCATCTCCTCTACAGGCTGCACTAACTCCCAAACTTCCCAACCAAGTAAAGTAGGCATCATGTTTTAAAAAGCATGTGTGGACTTTAAAAAATATATATAAATAAATAAATAAATTTTTTAAAAAATCAGTTACCCAAGAAAACAATCAGCATATCGATCAATAAGACACAAACACACTGACCTCCTGGTGATCGGCCACCAGCACCAGTTCGATGTACTTGGTCTCAGACAGGATATCTCTCTTGGTCTGCAGACAGAACACACAGAGGTCAGAGTTACAGGACGACAAGCAGTATCAGAGGTACTTTACAATTTCCAGTTTATCCCACTTTATGCATTAACTCCATTCCAGTTTGGATAGAAATATTGTGTTCATCCCTCAACAAAGTTAAAGTATACACACACACACACACACACATACATACATGCATATATATATATACAGTGACCATAGTGAAGTGCGTCTCACCCGGTGTGTGTGCATGGAGCTGTGGATAGGCGGAATGGTGGTGTGCGACACCCCACAGCCTCCAGTGCCATCGCCCTCCAGTGGGCTGGTGGAGAACAGCAGGTGGACTCCTTCTTCTTCTCCTCGTCCACTTCCTCCACTCTCCCCTTCTCCCTCCTCGTCCTCATCGTGATGGTCATCCTCTTGCGGCTGCAGCTCGAAGCTCAGCGTGGAGTTCAAGGCGATGACGCCGCTGCAGGAGGCAACACAATTAGCTTCTCTGCAGCTCGTTACTGTTATCTGGTTTATGAGCAGATTTATAGACTCTTGTTTGAGTTTGTTTGCTTTCTCTTCTGGTTGGTCCTGCTCAATTTTAGTATCAATTACAGGTCCTGTAATTTCATAAAGTTTAAAATCAAGTCTGGAACAATGAGTTAAATTAGCAAGCAAAAGAGACGGAGCCTTCGCAGTGGAGCTGCAACTTATGGTAATTATCACTGTTGAGTATTTTCTGGATTAATCAGTCAGTTGTTTGGTCGGCTGTGGCTCAGGTGGTAGAGCGGGTTGTCCTCTAATCGCAAGGTTGGTGGTTCGATCCCCCGCCCCTCCACAGTCGAAGTGTCCTTGGGCAAGACACTGAACCCGAAGTTGCTCCCAATGGCAGGCTAGCGCCTTGCATGGCAGCTCTGTCGCCATTGGTGTATGAATGTGTGTGTGAATGGGTGAATGAGAAACATTGTAAAGCGCTTTGAGTGCCGCAAAGGTAGAAAAGCGGTATATAAGTGCAGACCATTTACCACTTGTATTTAAAATGCTGAAAAAAGTCGACCAGTGATGATGACCAAGATGATGTACTGTGTGAGCATAATGTTTTTACAGAATCTGGAGCAAACGGTTTACGGTTTTGACAAATTTATGAAGGAGATGTGGAATAAAGTGTTCCTGATGAAATACTACAATTGAATAGATGAAACCACACATCCAACATAACATGTTCAAGGATAAAGATAAAAATCCCACATTTACTTCTGCTCTTACAGTTTCTGATTCTGATTAATGGTGTTTTTTGGCTATTTTTTAAAAGGCAAGAAAACTTGCCTTTTAAAGCTGCTGTTGGGTTCAGAGGGTTAAGAACTGGTGAGAAACTACAGCCTTCCAGCATATTCCAGCAGAAGAAGTTGGCACTTAGCTGCAACGTTACACTACTGTTTATCTTTAAATACGTTAGAATATCAAAGGAATCTTTCCATCAAGGGAGCCTTGAAAAAGCACATATTTAAGCACATATTTAAGTTGTGAAGTAAAATTGTTTTGCGTGTGTTTAAATAGTGTTTTAGGATTTGATAATGCATTTGTGAACAACATAAATTACCCACAAATCTTCTCACACATTTCTTCATCTGGTTTGTTGCTCATGAAACATGCATTTCTTAAAGTTATTGTCTTTTTCTGTTTGTTGTCAGATGTTTCAATGTTTTCCTGAGTAATCCAAAGAGCTTAATGAAAGGTCTAAACCTGGCCAGCACACTGAGCTCGATCCTCTGACCCTGAAACCACCAGCTGGAGCTGCTCTCTTCACGTGAGCTGACAAATAAACCCACTAATCCTCCTTCAGCCTGCACACTCTCTGTTGCAGAGGTCAGAGGTCATGCCGAATGATCCGGATCAGTTCGACCTGCAGAGGAATGCTGATGCCGTCACTCGCTTTTTTGGTCAAGAACAGCCAAGAAACACAAAGAGCTTGGACACAGTAAATCCTGAACTCTGGAATGACCGGATTAGAGGTTTTAGGTTTAATCTGAATTTTTTCACTGTTGCTTAAGAACAAAGTTTTTCCTCTGGATAAGTGTTACAACAATAGATCCCACATGTTCTCGACTCACTGAATTTGCTGTCTTTGTAAATATTCATCTTCTCTGCATTTAAATAAGCCTCCAGTAAACTTGAGTGAATTCAACGTGACCAAGCTGCTGTTGGAGGATTTTTCCTTGAATGCTGTAGACAGTTTTACAGCTTTGACCCTGTCAGCAGATATTTACAGCTTCTGCTTTCTTTTAACTGTTTTTCAGAGCAGAAGAAGCATTTGGAAACTGTCTAAACTGGACTGCCTCGTCCTGAGCTGAACTGCTTGTTTCTGTTTGGTTGTGGGTCATGCCTACATCAGAAATTTGTCAAAACAATTCTCTGATGTAGGCATATTTTGACACTTGCAAAACGTAAAATTTAAGGTTCTGTTTACTCAAGGACAAAATCTGAGGACGGAAACAGGCCGACAGATCAAACTGACAGAACAAGAACTGAACACCATCAGAGGAGAATCTGAAAGACTCAAACAAACACTGAATGCTGCAAACTGGTTTGATTCATGTGATTGAAATATGAGAACACCAATGTTGTTTCTCCATTTAACAGCCAGATGATTCATTCACCAGACTTAATATATATATATGTTGGAAAATTATTTTGACACAGAAGGAATTATGTCTATGACAGTTAAAGTTTATCCAAAATGCACTTTTTAAAGTTTTCTCTGGGAAATGATCAGAAAACAGAAAACACATCCAGGGTACCTATGTTTGTTGTCATAGACATTAAACTGTGGCAATTTTGCTTTTGAACAATTTTGAAGTCATTTGGAACACATTTGAGAAAAGGCTGAGTGGTTTTGGACAAATCTTGGGCCTTTTTCAATAGGTTTTGAGTCAGTTTTGACAAATTTCAAGTGGTTTTGGTTTGAGTCATTTTTAATCAGCAAGAACCAGATTCAACATAACAGAAGCTGTCAAAATTCTTCCGCTGAAGACGTTCCACAACATTTATGCCTTTGTAGAGACTGACTGAGTTTATAAAAGCTGCTCCCTTGTACAGTTTTACAGTAAACACTTGGCGTTAGGGGGTTTACTGACCGGAGTCCGGAGCAGGTGCTCAGAGCCACTCTGGACTGAGGGAATCCTCTGACACTGCCGTGGTAGTAACAGTGAGTCTGCAGGCGACACAAGCACAGCAACATGACATCTGGTCACAGCTGGAAAACACAACAGAGATGTGGTGGTGCGTTCACTGACTCACCACTGGGTCAGCAATCACAGACACTCCGGTGCCGTTGGGGAGGTAGTAGAAGACGTTGGGCGGTTTGGGCAGCAGGTCGCTGCAGAGAGAGAAGAAAGTTCAGACTCAGTCATGAAGACTTAGAGTTTACTGACCAACAAGCAGTTACAGATACAAATCAGTGAATCAGCGATGTGGATCTCTTTTAGGCTGCGTAGGATTGTGAGCTTTCATTTGGGGATTGATGTGTCATCACTTTCTGGACAAAGCACATGGCTGTGCTATTAGTCATTTTAAACACTTTTCAAGGCATTTTGGGAAAAAAAACTTTTAAACATTCTGACAGGTTTTATCATTTTGGACAAGTTTCATGTAATTTCAGGCAAGTCTTTGGTATGAGTTTGAGGTGTTTTTCGTTTTTTTTTTAGTTGAAGCATTCTGGACAAGTTTTCAGTCATACTGAACAAGTTCCAGTGATTTTAGAGAGATTTTATTCATTATTATTATTATTTTATTCATTTTAAATATGTTTTGAGTCACTTAAAAAACGTTCAAGTCATTTTGATCACGTTTGTCATTTTGAAAAAAAATGCTGATTCCCTTCAGACAAGATTAAGTCTTTTGGACAAATTTCAAGTCATTTTGAACATATTTTTTTGTCATTGTAGAAGAAATTTGTCATTTTGGGAATGTTTTGAGTCACTTTGGACACATTTTCTTCTTTTTAGAAAAGCTTTGAGTCCCTCTAGACAGTTTTGAGCCATTTTGGGTACATTTTGAGTCATTTTGGACATGTTATGTTGCATGTTTGAGATCTTATGAATTTAAGTTTGTTTTCATTCTTGGTCTAATTTGACATTTGTTTTATTGTAGAGCACTTTTTAACTTTAGTTATAAAAATTAAGTTATTATTTCTCTCAAAAAAGTGGACTACTGGTGACTGCAAGCTTTGGTAAAATCTGGAGCTCTGAAGCCACAGTATCATTCATGTTCATGTCGTGTTTATTGTCACAGTGTGAGTCAAACTTACTGGTTCTTCTCCAGATCCAGCAGGAAGAGTCGTCCTCCCACCTCCAGTCCACACTGCAGCCTGTCAGGGTGACCGTCCTGAGAACAAACAGGGAGAACAGTTCCTTTATTTAAACAGAAAACAGAACAGGAAAGGCGACTACCAAACAAATGAGACAGATTTGCAAACTCAAAGTGCTGCCTACACCACCAGAAATGAAAGGTTAAGCTGAAAAACAAGTAACTTTTGTAGCACTAGAAACTGTGAGCATGCTGGTCTGATGTCTGCGTGATTTAATAAACAGCAGTCTGTGCACAGTTCATATGAGTAAACATCGCTCATTTATCTCGACTTAGTTCCATCATCATCGCTGCTGTTTCCACAAATCACCAACCGCACCAAGACCCAGACAGACACTCCAATGTTACGATGAGAGGAAACACAAATAATGGAAATTAGGAATCAACAGATTATTGGATTCAATTTTTAGCACTCTTCCCATCGCTTTTTTTTACCCATTTCCGATGAAAAGTAAATTATTTAAATAAATGCAACTCTGGCTGTAATGCAGCTGCCCTCTATTTATCTGTAGTTGAGCAACAACCTGCCCACAGTGCCATCTGACTGATCACGAGTAACAGGATTAAACTTTAAAAGTTCTCTTAAATAAACACAGAAATTTCAATGTTGTGTTATTTTTGGATTTTGACACCAACATTTTTGCTTTTACTGCATCAGGCCTTTATTCAAACCCTAATACAAAATATTACGAAAGAGAAATAAGTCAATTACAAAACTGATAAAATGTAATGTTTTTAAAGACAATTAAATGAGAATCAACATCTTTGTTTGCTTGAATTAGCTAAAGAAAAAATATGTCAGTAAACTGTGAAATACTGTAACATTAAAACACTGCTAAAACAAAAAATGGAAAATGGTGAAAATGTGGCCCCTTTGCTGATTGAAGTTATTACTGTCTGTAATTTATTTAAAAAAATAAAATAAAATTAAATAAAAAAAAAAAGATATATATATATATATATATATATATATATATATATCCTTAATATAAATATTTCTTCTTTCAATTAATGGCTATCTGTAAAATAATATTGTTGGTTATCAGATGGCAGTTACTTTCTTTTTGTAAAACAATGACTCAAACCGTTTATCAAAATCCATCCATCCATCATCTATACACCACTTAATCCTCACTAGGGTCGCGGGGGGCTGGAGCCTATCCCAGCTGACTTAGGGTGAAGGCAGGGGACACCCTGGACAGGTCACCAGTCCATCACAGGGCCACACTTAGAGACAGAAAACCAAGCACACTCACATTCACACCTACAGACAATTTAGAATCACCAATTAACCTCAACATGTTTTTGGACTGTGGGAGGAAGTCAGAGAAGCCGGAGAGAACCCACGCTGCACGGGGAGAACATGCAAACTCCACACAGAAAGATCCCTGTGCCCCCACCGGGATGCGAACCGGCGACCTTCTTGCTGCGAGGCAGCAGTGCTAACCAACCACCTTGCAGCAAATGTCTTCAGCCGTGAGCCGGATTTGAACTCACGACCTCCACATTGGGACTGTTGCCCGGTGCAAGGGAATGCCAGCTCAACCAGGTGAGCTATAGGGGTAACCGTTTAACAAAATAACTGTTAAAAATTGTAACAGCTCTAATAATTGTTATTATTATTATTATTACGTAATTCTTGATTATGAATATCTAATATTCTGATATCTAATAATCCCTGGATACTTGCAGTATCTGTTACCTGTAAGTGCAAGATGAGATTTTACAGCTGCTTGTTGTGTTTTTATGTGTATGAAAATATTCATACTGAAGGTTCATAAATATACCAAAAAAACTGAGATTCTTGTATTCTCAGCACTGGTGGAGTTTCTCTGCTCAGCAGGCTAAAACGCTCTCCTGTCTGTTCCCACCATCTTTATTCTTTCTTCCTGGAAGTTTAGGAAGTTTAGTACATCCGTCGTCCAATCAGTGCGTCTTCCTGTCTGTTAATGGAGCTGCTCTTTCAAGAGGAGACGCTTCCTGTCCAACACCACCTCGCTTTCTCCTCTCAGCTCAGCCTGTTGTCATTTTAGACACATTTTAGTCATTTTAGATAAGTTTTGAAGTCTAAGTAATTTTTTAAATATTTTGAGGTGTTTTGGACAATTTTCTTTGTCATTTTGGAAAACATTTGAGACATTTTGGATAAGATTGAGTAATCTGGAGTAATTTGGACAACTTTCAAGTCATTTTAAATATATTTTTTGTCATTATGGAAACCTTTTAAGTAATTTAAGACAAGTTTTAAGTCATTTCAAACTTCAGTCATTGTGGACACATTTTGAGAAATTTAGGACAAGTTGAGCAACACTGTTTAGTTTACTATTCATCTCGTCTTCCATTTGATTTATGTCTTCGACTGTGGGCTTTGCTTACAATAAACAAGACAAATAGACCATCGTCCAATCAGTGGGTCTTCCTGCCTTTTACTGGAGCTGCTCTTTGAAGAAGAGACGCTTCCCGTCCGCCACCGCCTCGTTTTCTCCTCTCAGCTCAAAAGGAAGTGAAGGAGTGTGTGTTACTCAGACAGTTTTCCTGATGAACATCCTCTGTGGTGAGCCGACACGTGGCAGCATCATCAACAGGCTTTTACTGTGACACAGAAACTCTGTTTGGCCTGTAAATTTAGCATTTTCTAGGTCAAAATGCTGCCAAACTGTGCCAGTTTCAGCTGGACATTAACACTGGGAGAAAGATGCTATTTAACACCTTAGACAAACAGTAAACCTGTGTTGCACATTAATAAAATATTGATATTTAGTTGAACCAACAAGTGTTCCTGGTACTGACTCATGACAGTAGCAACTTTTCATTAGCCATAGTTGACTAATTGTAAACATTAATAGTTATTTCTGAATAAATTGAATTTGAGGATCTTAATTTTGCAGTAGCTTCCAGTCATTTTAAACAAAATTTGTAAAATATCTTGGGAGACTTTGGACAACTTTTATGTCATTTCAGGAAAATGTGAGTCATTGTGGACTCATTGTGGACTCATTTTAGACAGCTTTCCAATCATGTCAGACAAATTTGAGCCATTTTTGAGACATTTTGAACAAGTTATTTTGGAAAAAAAATTGAGATCTTTTGGACCATTTTTTTATCTTTTTGGAAACATTGTGAGACATTATAGACAAGATTTAAGTGATTTTTTGCAAATGTTTGTCATTTTTGCCGTTTGATTCATTTTAGAATAGTTTGAGTCATTACGGCAAGTTAAGCAAGGCTTCATTGTTTAATTACCTAAACTGTTCTTGGTTGCAACATCCACAATGTAGCCTAAGGGGTGCAATCTAAATTTTATCAACGGAAAACAATTTTTTCAGCAAAGTTCCACAGTGGACACATGCATTCACACCTTTGAGGATCCATTAGGGTTTGGTTCATTACAGACTTGATCATTTCATGCTATCTCGCTATAAAATCATCACCACGATTCCCAATAAAATGCATCTGTTTGCAACTGACTAATGAAATGAATGGAGGAACAAGTAAGAAGAATACATCCAGAAATCTAAAACTCTGCAGCCTGCATTTAAAAATCACTTGGAAAATGAAAAAGCTAGGACAAGTAATTTTGTACAAGTTTGAGTCATTTTGGACAAATTTTAGTCATTTTGGTCCTATTTATTGGCTTTTTTTTTTTTTTAATAAAATGTGTTAAAATTATTTCTCACAGCCTGATATTGAAGATAAGTTCTGCTGTGGTATTGATATTTCAAAGGATCCCCCACCCCAACAGAAAAGACAGGTTTTTATGGAACATTTGAATCAGTGTAAACACAGGAGCAACAAGCAAACAGGGAGTTCAGAGACTAATTTAAAGACTTAAAGGAAGCAGAGCTGCTCCTGAGATTTTAGAAAACCTGACATCAGCAGTACAAACTTTACAAGAGCAAATTTTTTTGGAGCGGACACAATAAAGTCTCAAATTATCAGATAAAATGTAAATTATGAAACTCATTTAAGTTATTAGGACTTTAGCTAACATTTTATTTTCCAGAAAACATGATCATGAGTCATTTTGTGTTTGAGGACATGATCTGCGGCCCTGCAGGGTTCAGAGTTTGACCTCTAAAGGGTACATTTTGGGTGGAGTATTTCTTTAACAGCAGCAGAATTCCCCTCCGAGGCGTGTTTGTTTTCTCCACCCTTTCTGTACTTTGTACTGTGGCGGGGTCGGATCATTGTGCAGCAGGATGGAGGGGGGGGGCGAGCGGTGTGTTCGTTGGCTGAGTCATGTTCAGTCCAGCTGGGAGAAGGGAAGAGAGGCAGCGCAGAGGAAACTGATTCACCGAGAAACTCCAGTCTGCAGCTGTTCAGACGTCTGGTTGGTTCGGTTACTTACAGCTGAACCAACGTCACCGCCGGGGCTCCTTTAGAATCATTTCGAGACTAGTCAGCCAAATCTAAAGACCTGTTAATCTTTTCTGTTGCAGACACAGCTGGTAGTTTGCTTTATTCTGTATTTTTTTCATTCATTCCCTTCAAACTTTCCTTATAATGTCTTGAAAATTAGCCACTAGAAAGTCATCAGTTTACTTTGAGTTGCAAAGGAAACGGAGAAAGTGTTAGTTACTGCAGGTCAAGTTCAAGTTTTTACAAAAACTACGCAACTGTGTGTAACATAAATAAGAAATAGTTCATAAACTGGTCAGTCAGTATCTATTGGTTTCTCAGCAAGATGAACAAAAACTTGACAGAAAATTAGCCACACCGTGTCTCTTTACGTTACAGGTCTGGTCTTGACATCAGTTTTTTAGTGTAATGCTGAGGTGGGGAAGTTTGATTTGTTGAAAAACTTAAGATGATTGAAAATATAAAAAACATACTCTACATTGAAATATATGAGAAAATACTATATTAAGATATACTGTGCAATAAAGATCAGTGGTTAGCACCACGCCCCCTATAATTAGTTTGGTGCTAATTATAAGAGACATGGAGAAAGAGTTTTTTGCTGCTGGCATAAAGTTTCAGATAAACTCTAAAAGGCAATTCAAAGAACCTGTTCCCACCAGTTAAACTAATATATAATTGCAAGATTTAAAAAAAAATGCAAATCTACTGTTTTAGATAAACCTTTTAAGTTGAAAACTGTATTTTGGTGAGTTGGGTTGACAAAATAATGTTGGATCAACTTAATACTGTGTGTAATTTAAACTCAAAAGTGTGCGTTAGTTAATTAAAAACTAAATGCAAGTTCTGGTAACTTTATCGAATTGTCTTGATAATTTAAAACTGACTTCACTTTGAAGTCACAATTTTAAGTCTGTGTCCCTACCTAGTTAACATTGCAGCAACTTATTTTAACAACGTACTATACATATAATGCATGATCTATATTTTGTGAACTATTGTAAAACTATGTAAAATATTTAAAATAGATTTTACTAAAAAATACATCAAACTATATTAAATATATAAAAACATACTATACTATAAACTGTATACAGTGTAGTAT